CTCAGCCTCCCGAGTAGCTGGGATTACAGGCATGTGCCACCATGCCTGGCTAATTTTGTATTTTTAGTAGAAACGGGGTTTCTCCATGTTGGTCAGGCTGGTCTCGAACTCCCGACCTTGGGTGATCTGCCTGCCTTGGCCTCCCAAAGTGCTGGGATTACAGGCCTGAGCTACTGTGCCAGGCCAAATCTACATTTTTCATAAGGGGGAGATTAAATATTGTCTAAAATGACAAATCAAGAAGATAGAAGCAAATTATTCAGAGGCACGCTAGCAACCATTAGAGGAATTAGAAATAATTTTAAACAACGATTGCTCCCTGGAGAGACGCACATGGAGAAGATAACTGCTCTCCACTATAAACCCTCTGGACTATTTGATTTTTGTCATGTGCATATTACTTTGATAAATCTAATGAAAGTTACAAGATTCCAGGTTGCATCATTCTCATCTACTAGGTTTAAGAATTGCTTTTTGAGGCAGGGTGCGGTGGCTCATGCCTGTAATCCCAGCACTTTTGGAGGCTAAGGTGGGCGGATCGCCTGAGGTCGGGAGTTCGAGACCAGCTTGGTCAACATGGAGAAACCCTGTCTCTACTAAAAATGCAAAATTAGCTGGGTGTAGTGGCACATGCCTGTAATCCCAGCTACTAGGGAGGCTAAGGCAGGAGAATCCGGGAGGTGGAGGTTGCAGTGAGCCAAGATCGCGCCATTGCACTCCAGCCTGGGAAATAAGAGCAAAAATCTGTCTCAAAAAAAAAAAAAAAAAAATAGCCTTTTGAGTTTGTGGCACTGTGACTAGCCCAAGAATAATGTCTACGGTCTGTCTGTTTTCTCTATACTGTGACTGAAAGTGAACATCATTTCTAGAGTACTCTTAGGAGTACAGCTGTATTAACGACTTAACTATGCAGAGCTTCTGGATTATGATTCCACAGTTACTTCTGTTTTCTTTTTAAATTTATTTATAGATATATTTAAATGAGAAACAAGCCAGGTTTAGAATTACATTGTGCATGGACAAGCAGGGAGTTATGAACATTTCCATTCAACAATTTGAAAAGCAGTAATATTATCAAACCAAAAGTAGACAATCAATGATAAAACTGAAACTTCCAAAAGCACTCATATATTAATAGTAACATGAAAAATTTATATATTCTATGCATTATGTTTTAAACAATAAAATAAAATGTATCCGCATTTTTCCTGCTCTACTTACTTATCTTATAAACATTACCTTTTGGGTGAAGTTCAGCTATTGAAAAATTGGCTATATTTATTTCATTTTCTTGTAAAATTACAATTTCTGAGATCTTTAAATGCCTCATTTCATTATTTATCTCCATAAAAGGCCTATTAATGTGTTCCCTTTCAAAACTCTGAAGAGATTTTCTTCAAGGTTATTTCTCTCAAAATTTAGGTATTTTCTTACATACTATCTGTTTTTTTTTTTTTTTTTTTTTTTTTTGAGACAGAGTCTTGCCCTGTTGCCCAGGCTGGAATGCAGTGGCATGCTCTCAGCTGACTACAACCTCCGCCTCCTGGGTTCAAACTATTCTCCTGCCTCAGCCTCCTGAGTAGCTGGGATTACAGGCACACGCCACCATGCTGGGCTAATTTTTGTATTTTTTTTTTTTTTTTCAGTAGAGATGGGGTTTCACCGTGTTGGTCAGGCTGGTCTCGAACTCCCATCTGCCCATCTTGGCCTCCCAAAGTGCTGGGATTACAGGCCTGAGCCACTGCACCCAGCTTTTCTTGCATACTATCTACCACATATTTTTGAGTAAGAAAAATATTAAGAACATCTGTTCTAGAGAAAGGGTCTTATCGGGCTTCTTTGTTTTTGATTACATCACACAGCAATTTTGTCATGTTTTATATAAAGCAGGTGCTCAAAAAAGTTTGTCATATTGAATCATATTGAGTATTATATTATCTAACATCATTACAATAGAATTATCCAAAACGTAGTGAAAAATCAGAGATTATAGTGTACAAATTGAAAGTAACGTTCCTGTCAGATATGCTTGTGTAACTTAGTTAAGTCTTTCCACATAGTCTACATTCACTAGGTATCCCCTCTGCGAGGCCCTGTGCTAGGCTCTGTGCACACAAAGATGGACAATATCAGGTCCTTCTACTGTAGCCACTGAGAGCCTCATGGAGTTATTTGACCAGTGAATGGAGAGTTACAGAATAAAGTGACCTGGACTTTCCGTGTCACCAAAGTGACAGGTCCAAACTTTCCCTCTCACTCCTTTCTTTTCACTACCAAAGTAGTGTGGGTGTCTTGGCAAGGTGAAATAAAGAGGCAAAGGCTTTCTCAGCATAATAATTAACAAGAGAGGGGTTAAGAAAGCTGAAAGATTTAGGCCTCTCTGCCTAAACACAGGCAATTATTCTGTCCTAGGAGATCTTGGGGCCAATCCTCCAGGATGGGGCACTCAGCAATGGAGCCCTGACTCTGGGGGAGGTGGGAGTGATAGAAAAGCCCAGCAAAGGTGGGAGGGTGGAGAAGAGTGCAGGAAAGGGACTCCTGGGTCTCCACTGGGGCAGATTCTGAATGGATTGAAAAGCAACTTGATAGCAAAAATCAAGAAATATTATCAGTGTCCATGATTAGACTGTGGTGAGACTGTCTGTTATCTTCCTAGACACTGGGGGCATGAATGGCTGTTTATACTGTTGTAAAGGTGTTCTCAGTGACCCACAGGGACTCATGGGATGGGAAAGGAAGGGAGCGCCCAGCTCAGGCTGCACAACAGATGTGGGAGAGTGGTAGAGATAGGATAAGATGTTTTGGAATCTGCAAGTTGTTCAGTAAGGCGCAGGCATGGACCACATGGCCAAAGAAGCTGACCCCATGTCAGTGCTTACTAATGCAAAGACAGTCGATTACCATGAATGTTACTACTCTGGACAGATTTGGGGTTAGGAAGTACAATTCAATGTTGAGTGAAAGAGTCTCCTTTTGAGGATGAAGAAAAAAAGGAAGGGTGGGCTGAGTTGTTCTCCTCAGGGATGCAGTCCACTGGTGACAGAGATTTGTAATATTCATCTTCCCCATCAAGTACTTTGATTTGGCTGCAACAAAGAAAACAACAGGATTTTCAACAAAAAAAGAAAACAAATGTTACAATCATCACTGGGGCAGCTAAAGTCATGCGAGTAGCTGGAACAGGGTTGGGTTCCAACACTGAAGGGGATGGACAGCTTAAGTGGTTCAGGGTCTCCCAGTACAGAGGTACCAGGGTCTGATCTACGAAGCCCTTCACCTTGGGGTCACACACTGATAATGGGTCTAGTTTTGCGGTTTCTGGAAGTTGTGGTCATACTGCAACTTGATTTATGGGATTGAACTCTCTGTCTCCATCTGGTTCCCTCTAGATGAGAAAGTTTTCCTCCTGACCTCCTCCAATTCTCTAATTATTACTGTTATATACTTCATTGCTATTCTCAGTTGAGATGCTTACAATCAAACGAATGATAAATTCCTTACTATCCTCTGTCTAACCAGTGGGGCATGTTTCTCTTTGTGCATGTTTTAAGGCCCAGGGGTAGGATAATGTGGAGGAAGTGGCCTATTTGTATTTCGTAGAGTGCTCTTATTTGTGGAAGGAGAGTTTTATATAACCCACTACATGTCTCTAATTATGAAGAAAGTACAATTCCCCGGAATAATTAAGAGAAATAACATTTGCCCTTAGGTGACAATTTCAACCTTTTTGGACAGAATAGATTCAAGTTTTGTATACTTGCTACTGTGAAAAGTAATTTCCAATGTCAATAAGAGTGGCAATATCTGGATTGCATATTTTTAGAAGCCTCTCTGGAAAGTTTTGCATTTTCTGTAATATCACAAAGGACCCCTTCTGTTTACAGTTGCTTAGAACTAAGAAGACAGATATTTACCCAAGTTTTCTTGGCTTCCTCTTGCTCCCTTGATATTCTAGAGTTCCCTGTGGAGAGGGCCAAGAACACACAGTCAAAGCAAAGCAGCAAGTCGTTAATTTTTAATTCAAAGTGATTTTGTGTTGAATGCAAGCAGATGCTGATAATATCAGAAGTCACAGCATAATTTTTTTGATCAAAGGGCTCAAGTGAGCCTGATGAAGCATGCATCTTGCTCGTCTTTGATAAACCACATCAATTATTCACCGTGAAGGCAGACATCCTGACATGAAAGCAACAGATAAAGAGCCTAAGCACATGTTCAAGACGAGAGCATGGGGGTGGGGGTGGGGCTGCAGGGGCTGAAACAGGTAGTAATAACAGAATTATTAACTGGAAACAAAGCCAGTGAAACAGCTTTATGGCCACTTTGAACTCACATTTAACTGGTTATAGTACATAGTGTCCTCAGGGCTACTCAGCATTTTGGGCTGCTGACATCGTCGGCGAGGTGTTCGTTGCTTCTGTGCGAGACCATTTTCTGAACCTGAAAAAAGATAGCAAAACTTTGCTGTAAACTGTCCCAGGTGTTGGGAAAATTAAGTGAAAAATGGCTCTTTACATAAACGCACTTAGTAGGAACTGTGTCCTATTTTAGTGGGCATATTAAAAGCTTTGCTAATGTTAGGAGAAATGCCATCCTAAAAAATACACACAGATTGCTAAGTGTAAACAAGGGCCACTGTCCGTAACTTCGTATTCAGCTTTCTGATCTGAATCAGCGGTCCGGGGTGACAGAAAGCAAGCTGGTGTTTCCACATTGGTGAAGTATAAGTTGGTGGTCAGCCTTTATAGAGTAGGGTGCCCTTAGTGGGATGACTGTGTTAGGACAACCAAAGCAATCAGGGATGGTTTGCACCACATCCTGCAGTGAGAGTTCAAAAACATCTGGAGCACACATACTCTTGGGGAGATGAGAAGCAAACCTTTTGGTGGGATACATTTTGGGGGAGAAAATGGCTTGAGCTAAAATTTACTGAAAGGCTTTGAACAATACCACTGATGCATGCAGTTTCTGGAGGTAGTGTAAAAGAGAAGGAGAAAGGATGATTGCATGATTACATGAAGCAGTCTCTCCCTGTTTGTCCTGATTTCAGAACCCTGGACCAAGAGCACATTGGAGATTAAGAAACCATGAGTCAGAAGAAGTCACAATTCATCTCCCTTCCAAGCAAATGATTTTACGGATCTACTGTCCTTTCGGCTCTATATCTGAATCAGGACTCAGCAGTTCTGATTTCCTGGCA